AAAAAAAAAAAAAAAAAAAAAAAAATCAGATTTTTTGATTTAATTGTATTTTTTATTTTTAAAGGTGCTTTTGAAAAAAATAAACATATAATGATAGTTTTAATTTGAGATAGGTTAAAGCTTAAAGATATCATCATGGAACAGGGATTATAACTTCTAATTGTACACCATTTGAGACAGGATATTAATGTAACCCTTTTATAAGTTTTATAAATAGGTCACAACAGGCCATGGGCTATATTACAGGCCCAATCCTATGCGGTTCCCAGAAGCTCCTCTATAGATTAGTAAAGAAAACCTCTCTACCCAATGGAACTCAGTGCTCAGTCTAGAAGATCCCATTAGGCATCTCTGTGATGATTAGTTTCAGTTCTCAAACTATGGATTTGTGTCTCCAGAGATCATAGGCAGACAAGGTTCTTTGGGTGGATGTGGTATCTTTTATTAAACCAACTAAATTGTTGGAAAAATTGTTATTTGCAAGCTTTCAGGCACAAACAACCTTCTTCAGGCATAGGGAGAGGTTGTCATCTCCAAAGATAACATCCTTGTTAACAGCATTATATGGTGATGAGAGATGACAGACCTGATTACCCACTCATCTCCCCTATTGTCTCTCTGCAAGTTTGTGTACACAGTCAAGACCTTACTTTTCTCTAAAAGTGCAAAGTTTCAAGAAGTTAAATGAATAAAGGATATCAAACAACAAGAATGCACTTTTTGTAGAACAGTAATTAAAGGGAGGCTTCCTAACCACTGATTTAAATCGTTATTTAAATCATGGTTTAAATCTATTTGATTTAAATCATATTCACCCTGCAAGGAGTGGAGCTATTCTCCTGCAGGGGAAAGCTGGAAGGATTCCTATCATGGGAGAATGCCCACCCACTCTCCTGCCAATCAGTTGATTGGTGCAACTGGGGCAGTGGGGGGCATTCTCCCAGGGCTAGAACCCTTCCAGAACTGCCACCTGACAGCCTGCCCCCTTCCCAGGCACGGTGGAGGGCAGACTGTCAATTAATGAGCTGCCCTACCGGCAGGAGTGACTCAGGAAGCAGCCTCCTAGAGTCCCCTAGCTGGAAAGCTTGTCTGTGAAGCTCGCCAGCCATGGGGCTGGAGGAACATTTGAACAGTCCAGCTCCCAGGTTATTTTCCTACCTGAAGATATTTCTTCCAGTAGAAAAAAAATGTTTGTATGTAGCCCAAGCTAAATGGTATTGTTTCTCCTACTTAACTTGATGTATAAAAAAACCCAACCAAAACAGCATAATAAAAAGACAGTGAATAACAAGTAAGTGATACTTAGAAAGAGAAGTCATAGTTCATTTTGATATGAATCCAGAAAGTTTTACCGACCAAGTTCACAACTATAAACCTTGTTGCCACAAGGTTCAAACAACAAATAATCCTAGCACACTTGTTACCTCCAGTCTTCAAAGCTGCTTCTTGTAAACTTAAAAGGTATTTTCCTAGCTCCGTTTATGCATCTACATACCCCGCTATTAGCAGACCCTAGAATACAGATTTTACAGTATACTGTTCTTTCCCTAACAGTAGATACACTACTTTTTTATTAGAAAAACTAATGACACTACTCACATACAAGGAAGGAGGAATCTTAAAGGAAAAACAAGCAAACCTCTGTTTATATGAATTAAATACAGTCATACAGAGGAAATATCCTTTTATTTATAATGGGCTAAGAGGGCAGGAAATTGGGCCCATGGTGAGCAGAAGAACAGGAATGGCATAGATGTAATTGGGCAGTCAAAACATTTCTAAAAGTAAGGAGGGCCTGGACACAGAACATTTACATCACTGTAGCCTGTATGTAAAAAAAAAGAGTGCACACACAACATTTAATCCTATGCTGGTATACCTTACTCTGATCTGGTATAGAGTTATATCAGGAAAAACTAGGATAAGACTACACTACTACAAGTATCATGCATTAGCTCTTGTCCAAGACTAACCATTTGCTCAGTACAAACAAGTTATGACCTGCTCCCCAAAACCATTTAGTAGTGATGTGTTACAACAGCACATACTACAGCTATCCTGGGTTGTTTATCTGCTCAGTACACTGATGTAATCTGTATCAGTGTCCTAAACTGATAAAAAGTCACACCAGTGTTAATGCACTGTGCATCCAGGCCCCTAAACTAGATGCATCATAATAACTGACCTAGTAGTGAGGTAGGAGTAGTTATAAATAAAATCAGCGTATTCCTGCAAATATTTCACTATGAATTAAGAAAGGCACCTAAAACAGGAATTCTAAAAATCAAGGCAATGACATAAATAGGTTGACATAATAAATTGTCTAGTCCCAGCCTGTGCAGTAGGAGCAGTGCTGATTTCTAGACTGATGAAAAAAAGAAAACGTTAACACAGAAGCAATTTCTTATAAATTTAGCAGCAGAATCTCACCATGTAAAGACTATTTCATTAACAAGCCCTCACTCATGTATTTGTCACTACTCTTACCTTGTTAGCATTCTTCAAATACTCCACAGATTCCCAAAGACTAATTAAAGCCCTCTTATCCATCCTCTCCATGTATACACGAAAGTGTTTTCGGTAGGACGGATTGGCCAAAATATCCTCAAACTGAAGAATCTGTAAAAGGCAAAATCCAGAGTAAAACACTGAAAAGGTAATTAGATGAGATGTACTGACAGCTGCTCACAATCCAAGCAGCTGGTTATAACCAGTTTAAGTGGATACATAGTAACAAATCCTCATGTCGAAATAGCCACACATAATTGGTTTAGGGACATGCTGAAAAGTCCTTATAAAAGCAACATGAAAAAGGCTGTCTACACAAAATTCCCCCTTGCTAACAGCTTGTTTTAATTAGGTTAGCTAACCTGGTGCTGACCACTGTTACACTGTAGGAGAAACCTTCTCATCTTGGAATGCAAATCTGAAAAGAAAAGCAGCTGCTACTGCCTAATCAATGGGAACTTTGCCCATTTTAGGTGGGGTGATGAAGAAGGAATTGCCCATCTATGTATGGCATTTCCATAACTTCTCCCATCTTTGGAAGAGGCACTTGTAGCCATATTGTGACCAAGACAGGAAAAAAAAATCCTGGACACATGCATCATTCACTCCTCACCTCCCTGACAAATCACTCCACTCAAATGGATTCTATCAATTCTAATCTTCACCATTCAAGAGTCATGACAGACTGAAATTGTGTGCATTTTGAGGAAAACAAATGCACTGGACCCCTAGATTCAAAGTAAAGGAAATTGTCTTACTCTCTACAAAGTAATGTTCAAGGTTCACACCAGCTTTTGCAGACAAAACCAGTAGCTTAAATAGGGCCGGAGAACAGCATCAGCCCCTGGGTACCAACTTTGAAGGGGTGCCAAAAATCGTTCCCCACCTTCATGGAGGCAGCAAGAGCAGTTTCACAGCACTGCTCTTGCAGAAGCAGCAACTGGAGCACAGACATATATTCACCAGTGCACAGAGCATGTGGCGGCAGCAGCAGCTGCTGCTGCCACCATCCCTGTCGGGGATAGTTCTGGGTAAGATGCCTGCAACTCCTAGGTTCATGGAACTGCACTTCTTAAGACACTGTCCAAAATTCTCATTTAAATTTGATGTTTATCGGAATTTGGGGTATATAAATTGGGTCTTAACTGCAGCATCTAGTTCCAGTGATACTCTCTGTAATGGTTTCTCTTCCAGCATACCCAGACTAATTCCAAACATCTTGTGTCATTAACCACATTATGACATTAATAAGACATACTCTGGTATTTTGCTAATCTGTAGGAATTAGCTATTATATAATCCATAATTTTGTATGAAAAGATTTCTGTAGTTGATCTGGATGATTTGTACTCAGTTCATTTAGCCTCCTTAAAGAGAATTGATTCATAACCTTCATAAACACACCAAAAATTCTAAAAAAAACCTCTTGTTCATAATTTTGAAATGATTGCAGTTCCCAATATTCAAACAGTATTTGTATTTTTTTGTTTTCAAGAGAGATTTTGAAAAGCCATTTTAAGGCCCTGAGAAGAAAAGCTGATCTAAAGCAAATTCATTGTACATTTTTATTCTCAATCATTGATAAAGATAGCATTGGGTCAAGAAGAGATGTTAGGCAGTGAATAGTTTTAAATCTATTTAGGATGGGCTACACGTTATAACAGAACCTAGATCCTGAGCTGTTTAGTCTTACAAGAACATACACTGAGATTTGTAAATTATTTTTTGCTACAGCAGCCTTTACTAACTTCATTGCACTGGAGCAGTTCTGATCTAGGCACAGCAAAACAGATGGCCAGTGATCCCATGACATTGATGTAAAGCAGCTGCATGCCTAAGCACAAGTCAGTTGGTCCATTTTCCTAGACCACTAAGGACTTACTACCATGCTCAGAGTTTCTATCAGAGCAGAGTAGCACATTACAAGTGAAGACACCAGTGTTACATGGCTGATTCTACCATTACATCAATTCAAAAATACATACACTAGTTCAGTAGCTGAAAAAAAAAAGTTTGTTATTTTAACAGCCCTAATTAATGCCACTAACCCACATAAAAAATTGGCATTTGGACCTGAAAGAGTCCTTACATCAACTACTCCAACAACCCTCTGCTCAAGGCAGCACCATCCTTATCTAACTATCCCAGACTAATGTTTGTGTAAGCTGTACTTAAATATTTCCATTGACAGAGATTTCACAACCTCTTGGCAATTTGTTCCAGTGCTTAACAACCCTCCCAGTCTGAATCTGACCAAAATCTCCCTTGTTGCAATTTAAGACCAATTATTTCTTGTCCTAGCCTCTGAATAGAGAAAGAACTATCAATCACCACCCTATTTATAACAACTGGCTCTGTATTTGAATCCCAGTTTTTCCAATCTTTCCTCATGTGTCATGCTTTCATAGTTTCATAGGTGTAGGGTCGGAAGGGACCTGAGCAGATCATCAAGTCCGCCCCCCTATGCTGGGCAGGAATGAATACTGGGCTCACATGACCCCAGGTAGGTAATTATCAAGCCTCCTTTTAAAGACCCCTAAGATAAGAGCCAGCACCACTTCCCTTGGAAGTTGGTTTCAGATCCTGACCGCCCTGACTGTGAAGTAGTGCCTCCTGATGTCTAGCCTGAACCTACTCTCAATCAATTTGTGGCCGTTATTCCTTGTTACTCCGGGAGGTGCTCAGGGGAACAGGGTCTCACCTGCTTTTTAGATCTCTAATAATTTTTTGTGGCTCTCCTCCTGACTTTACGAAAGATGCGGACATACTGGAAAGTGCAGGGCTCAAGTACTCAAGAGAATGGAAGAACCACTTCCAAGGGCACATGACAGAAGTGATTATGGTCTCTGTTTCACTGCCATTTCACCAACAATTTGAAGTTTATTTATGAAATGATTCCTCGATAAATGTAGTTGACTACTTTTTTGTCTGTCCTAAACCCCTGAACTCTGAGCCAAGTGCTTCATGTTTGCCTCAGCAGTTTCTAACTGACAAGGATGTGCCGCTTTCCCTTTCCTTCAGTTTTTTTAAACTATAATCTTCTGGAAGCTGGTTCTCACATTAAAAGCTATTCACATATTTAATGACCTGTCTCTTGGAGCTCACTTGATAAATCTTCATCAATCCACTTGCTTAAGTGGGAAAAAGGCTTTTGTTGCAGCAATGATGATCAGAATGTCAAGTAAGAGAATATAAACATGACATTTCAAAGACTGGTCTTTGGGATTAGCTATAAACTCCCTTCATAAAACTCCAATCAATCAGTCTAATCTAGAAGGATAATTAATAGCCAAAATGGAAGGAGTAAAGTACATACAAAAACATGGAGGAGGAAAACCAGATAGAATCGTGTAACACGGCATTTTCAGGTTGTATGCTGCAACAACCCAGCTTAGGTCAGGGGTGGGTGGCTGAGCAGGAGCTAGGACCCAGCTACTGCCACTACTTTTTGCAACAGTGTGTGGTTCAGTGAGAACTCCTAAGGCCACCATGGCTACAGACAGAAGATGCACATAAACCAATTTAAGGGATCAGAAACTGGTTTAAACCTGTAACACAACAGAAGTTCAGTGCACATAAACCAGTTTCAGAATGGCCAAAACTGGTTTAACATAAACCTGAACGTAGTATCTTTGGGTCAACCCAGTTTATGCCATTTCTGTCCCAGACCACTTCCTAGTTTAAGTTAACCCAGTGTCCCCCAGCATCCCAGCATGCTTTTCAGCCCTGGGCTTGGCTGTACTGTCTGCGCCAGAGAGCAGGGCTAGCCCTGCCTCTCTGTTCTCTAGCTGGAGCAGGGGCAAGGGCATGCCCAGAGCCAGCCCAGCATGACCCCTAAGGCTAAAGGGGCATGGAGGGGGTTTATTCTCCCACCCTCCAGGGACCACAGATGCGGTCTGCCTGGCCAGGTGGAGCAGGCCCTGTCAGGGTAACCTACCTTCTCCCCACTACAGTGGCAAGGGGAAGAGTGTGGTCACAGCTGGCTGGCTGGCATGGCCCCACGACCTGCCGCCTTGCCCATGGCTGCAGGGCTGAGGTAGGCTGGCCCATGGGCGCTGCTGAGGGCAGACAGAGGGGCCAGCCAGGTTGGGCTGCAGGAGCAGGACCCTTCCCAACCTGCTGCAGGGGAAGGGCCTGGCGAGGCCAGTCAGGCTAGGCTGTAGGGCCAGGACCCTTCCCACCCATCTGTGGCTCTGTGACAGCATGGCCTGGAGGCACAGGCAGCCACTGGCCAGGCAATGGCACAGAGGCAACACCACTGCAGCAGCCGGACTGGCCATGTGAGATGCATTAATTATGCCTGCAGCTGCCCAGGCCAGCTCGGAGGCGCTGGAGGGCTCAGAGCCTGGGAAGTGCCCTCCGCAGGGGGCTCACGTTTCTGCCTCTGCTGCCATGCCCCCTGTCCATCACTGTGCAGCACCCAGCCAGCTGCACCTGCACCAGAAGCTGTGAGATGGCTGGGGCCAGCAGTGCTGTTCTGTTTCCCTCGCCTCAAGCTCCTGCAACTGGCTGCCTCCCCTGCCCCCGTCGCACCGCTCTGGGTGGGCAGGTGGGAAGCGTGAACCTGGTGGCTTCTTCCCTGCGGATGCAGCTCTGGCTCCAGCTCCTCCCAGCTGCCTTCCATCTGCTCTGCCCACTGAGCAGTTCTGCAGCGAGACTGAGTGGGTGGAAGGCAGCCAGGAGCTGGAGCTTGATCTCCCTGCACTGGGCAGAAGCCATCAGGCTGAAGCTTCCACCCACCTGGAGCAGCGCAGCAGGAGCCACAGCTGGAGGTAAGGGGAGCAGAACAGCCCTGCCAGCCCCAGCCAGTGCACGGCTTTGGTGGGACTGTTCTCAGTGCGGCTGCAGCCAGCCAGGTGCTGCTGTGCTCCCCTTGCCTCCAGTGGCTCGACCTTCTCCCACTCCTGCTGCACCACACCAGGTGGCAGGGGTTGGGAGGAAGCTTCAGCCTGGCAGCTTCTGCCCAGTGCATGGAGATCCGCCTCAGCTCCCGGCCATCTTCCATCTGCTCCTTGCACGTGCCCACAGGGGCTGCTCATTGCACCAGGCAGGTGGAGGGGATGGAAGGTGAGCAGCAGCTGGATCCAGAGCTCCATGCGCTGGGCAGAAGC